ATAAATACAACAGCTGATAAAAGTGATTACTTGTGGTACTCATCAAGGTAGATAATGGGCCTCCAATGTTGAAAGATATTTCCTCTGGCCTATAACTCTCTCCTCCTTGTAACACTATTCTTGTGTTTTTCTTAAAGCATTGATTATAAGGATGGTGCTGGTTCTCAAACTTCCCTTCACATTGAATCACTTGGTCATGCCCTTCATGCTTTCATCAATGGGAAGCTTGCAGGTAAATAAAAGTAAAACAATTACTACTGATGATATGTTGTGATAACTCTATCTACACATGTTCTTCCTAGATATTCCTATCATTTTATGTTTTACATAATTTAGATTCATCTTCAATTGCTGGTTCTGCTGACCTTGGTATCATTTTTAAGGTCTGCAGCACCTCTTCAAATTGTTGCCAAATAAAGTGAGACTTAGATGGGTGTAAAGCAACATCGGTCAACTCTAGCATTTCATTGTAGAGAGAAATTTTTAAGAGTTTGGGTTGTATTCTGACGTCTAATATGAACTCCGGGGGGGCAAACCATTATAAGTAGTCAGAATTGAAAAGAGTAGACATGTAACATGTTTGGTTAGTTATAGATCAGAAACCTGAACACAAATTTAATTTTTGGCTAATGAATAAAATCAATTTAAATCAAATTTCACCCAATTATATGACCTTACGTATCTAACCAAATGAGAATCAAATAAGGTAAATTACACGAAACATGAAGTACTGGTTCTAGATTTAATTAATGTGTAGAAGAGGATGCACCAAGTTTTAACAAGATCATAAACTTTGTCATGCAAAATTTGAATCACTTTAAAAATTTAGGGGAAATAAAATAAAAGGTTAATTTGAAATCGAGTAAGGAAAACATAAGAGCAGTTGCTCCTTCCTAAAATGTTCAGAGTTTATTCTTTCAATTAAGTTCTTCTTGAATTGATCAATTTTAATTATCTGCAATATTTTTGAAAACTTCTCAGGGAGTCAAGCAGGCAACAGTGGCAAAGCTAAGTTCACTGTGGACATCCCTGTCACACTAGTGGCTGGAAAGAACACAATTGATCTCTTGAGTTTAACCGTGGGACTTCAGGTTCAATTTTTCTCATCATAATAAAAATTTACAAGATAGAAATTATGGTTTTAAGTATGCAATTATGCATTGACTTGTTAGTTTCTGTTCTACATTATCTTGCTTGCTCGTCCAGTCATTTGTATAATTGATCATTACTACATCGACTAATTGAACCTTATACACTTCAGAACTATGGAGCATTTTTTGACATCTCAGGAGCGGGAATCACTGGTCCAGTGATATTTAAAGGTTTGGCGAATGGCAACACACTTGATCTCTCCTCTCAGAAGTGGACATATCAAGTTAGTTTTCACATTTGGTTAAAGACTATGATTTCACCTTTGTATATAACTTAATCATGTAAGCATCAGTGAGATTCATGCAATATTTGAATCTATCCATAAAGTTAGTTTGTATGTCACAATGATTTTCTCTATTCCTGCCAATGAATTTCATAGCTCAATAATTTCATATGATAGAAGAAATATAGTTCTATTTTTTAAATCATAGAATGCAGTCTTAATTTTCTTGATACAGGTTGGCCTTAAAGGTGAAGACTTAGGCCTGTCTAGTGGAAGTTCTGGACAGTGGAATTCGCAGTCTACCTTACCTAAGAACCAACCTTTGACTTGGTACAAGGTAATCTGATTTTCATTTATTTGTTTCACTGGTTACAAGTAAGGGACAATAGAATTATACTCATCTAATGCTTGTAGACAATTTTAGTATTTCCATCCTCCTGGCCATTTCTTTTACAGATCTCATATCTTCATATAGTTTTACTCAGAAATGTCTACAACTGTTATCTTCAACTTGCATTAGCATACAACAATTAAAATTAAGGGAATCCTACCATAAAAAAAATACTTCTGCTACTCACTAATGTAGTTCATGTTGGATTAGACAACCTTTGCTGCTCCATCCGGCACTAATCCAGTTGCAATTGACTTCACGGGGATGAGTAAAGGTGAGGCTTGGGTGAATGGGCAAAGCATTGGCCGATACTGGCCTACATATGTAGCTTCAGATGCTGGTTGCACAGACTCGTGCAATTATAGGGGACCTTACAGAGACTCCAAATGCCGCAAGAACTGTGGAAAACCATCACAGACACTGTAAGTGTTTGATATCATAAATGAGTTATATTGAAAAATGAAAATAATCTTTGATTGATAATATCAGTTAGACACTAATCCTGCAGGTACCATGTACCGCGCTCGTGGTTGAAACCAAGCGGCAACGTCCTTGTTTTGTTTGAGGAAAAGGGAGGTGATCCAACACAAATATCTTTTGTCACGAAACAGATAGAAAGTTTGTGTGCACATGTATCTGATTCTCATCCACCGCCAGTGGAACTGTGGAACTCAGATACAGAATCAGGAAGAGAAGTAGGTCCTGTACTATCACTCACATGCCCTCAGCAAAATCAAGTCATCTCTTCCATTAAATTTGCAAGCTATGGAACCCCCCTTGGGACTTGTGGGAACTTCTACCACGGACGCTGCAGCAGCAACAAGGCTTTGTCTGTAGTGCAGAAGGTGTTATTTACCTTCCTCTTGTTCTTGTTACATTGATATGTTTTCAATTTGGTTTTAGACTGACTCAAATGATCTTGATTAGGCCTGCATTGGATCAAGCAGTTGTAGTCTTGGAGTGTCAATTGATACATTTGGAGATCCTTGTAGAGGAGTGGCAAAGAGTTTAGCTGTTGAAGCTACTTGTGCATAGACAGAAATGCTGCTACAGGAACACTCCCCAATCGTCTCAAGATGATTCCTACTAATAAGCAAAGTTGCAAACTAGGAATATCCAAGAACTAAAACAGTCTAGTCTCACGTGCAATAAAAGAGAAAAAGTCTCTTAGCTGATGCAAGATACGTGATTAATGGTGTTTTTATTTTTGCTTTTACTGAAAAGGATGACTGATTTCTCAACTTGCAAGACAAAGTTATTCTCATGATTTGTGCGAGGAAAATGAACAGTAAAACGTTGAAACTTAGGATTATGGACTTCTCCTCGTGAGACAAGTTGGATTGAAGTAATAGTATGGTAAAGTTTACTGAAATGTAAAAGGATGTGTGGAGCATCTGAAATTCACAAGTTTGATCGGTCGAAACGAAATCAAGCGAATGCGTTGTGCTGTCATTCAAACAATGTACAACCTTCCATTACCAAGGAATAAATCCAAAACTTTAATGCATGTGACCAGTACCAGATGAGAATCTTCAGTTAAGAAAATGACTGCGATGATAAACATTAAGGAAGGCCCTTAATTTGTCTTGGATGCATATCTTTGTCATGGCTGATATCAGTAGTACACAATCACTGAGTAGCAAATTGCAAAAACATTAGAAAGAAGAAAACCCTTCCCCCAATTTGAGATTCCACAACTTGAATGAACGTGAAGGTTTTGATCCTGATTAATCCATAACAATTGCTAAATGACAAGTTTGAAGCTGCAGAGGTAAGACAGAGATAAAGTAAAAACATATAACCAAACATAATCGCTCTCATTATATGATAAATATAAAATGTGTTTTATATTTTTTAAAATATTAAATATATTTAACTTTCATCTAATATATTCTTTTAAAATAATAGACTACACATTACTTTAAAAGGTTACAAATCATCACACTAAAACAAAAAATGTTTACTTTTTCGTTGTCAGTGAACCAGAGAGCATTTAAGAATCTTGTTCCTGTACGTATAGATTTAGAAAGCAAAAGTTGTTTTTTCACTAAATTCATAAAAGCATTAACTGATAAAATAAATTATCATGTGTAATTATATTAAAAGTACTTATTTAAAGTATAAAAATACGTTTATGGCGAGTCTAATAATGAGAAATAAACAGTTATAAATTGTATTTATAGTCTGAAAAATGAGTGATGCCCAACGTGGCCAACCTGTTACCGTTGTTGGATTCCTCCTAAAAATTGAACAAAAAATTTAATTGCTATACTGCCCCTTTTTAGCTTTGCACTTTCACAATCCCCTGTATTTATTCATTTTTTTCTTCACTCTCTTCCCGATCGATCGATTTTCTTCGACTAGGGCATTTCCGCATTCCGATTCCCATTCCAACACATTCTCCTCCTCATTTATAACCGCAATTGCAATAGGGTTTTCGTTTGGTGTCCTTCTGTGGTAATTGCAGCTTTCTCGATTCAATTTTGGATTAAGGGTTCCGAGTCTTACCCTAAAGGCCATCGATTCGTGCTGGAATTTCAGGCTTTCGGAGCCCAGAGTTAGGGCTCTTCCATTTTGTCATTTCCCCCCTGGAGAAGGAGAGGGGTAAATTATTGAACTTTTTATATCTTAATCATAATAATAATACACTCTGCCGTTGACATTTCGCGTTGATAGCGGCCAAAGCATTTGTTCTCTTCTTATTTCTATTTTTCCAATATTATTTGATTAATCTGAAGTTTTAATTTTTACACATATATATACATATATATATATATATATATATATATATATATATATATTAATTTTTTAATTTTATTTTCCTGTTTCTGTTTGTGTAAAAAGGTCAACGAATTGTTGGTGGTGAGTTGTGGGCTGAGCCTGCAACCGTGGTTATAAACTGGAGCTATCGCAATGTTGGGTGTGAATCGTTGTGGTTTTAATTTCTGTAGCCGTTTTCTCCACCTAGCTGAATGGCATCCTTTAGAATAGCAATGTTAAACGGGGCTTGAGGCCCTTCTCTTCCTCTCATATCAGGTAATCATCTCCCTCTTAAGGAATAAGTACAATCTTGTATAATTATGATTGTGCTTAATACTTGCACCCGTTTTATGTTCGGCTTCCACCCATTTGATGAGATTCCTATTGTGAAAGCAACTTGCAGGGTCGGCGGAGACAAGTTAGTTATTAGGATATTGGCTTTGGCCGTTTCAGTTGAGTTGGATTACTGCTGTGATGGGAGATTGTAAGAGTTTTTCATTTTCCAAAATGATGGGCTGCTGTGGTTGCTTCGGATTTATCAAAAAACAAAGACGGCGTCGGGCTAAACGTAGCATCAACAATCTTCTCTCCCATGGCCTGTTATATGATGGAGAAACTGAAGGTGATGAGTCGTGCAGTGGAGATGTTACTAGTTACGCCACCAGTGGAGATGATAATGAGGTGCAAGCTGTACGCAACCGTTCCGAGGATATTTTGAACTTTAGAGCGGAGCATGGCATGGTTTGTAGACCATTTCCTGTCAAGGAGACTTGCAAACTTGTTCGCTCAGAGGTATCTGTGGAGATGGCCTTTTAGTTTTTTCTATGAAGTTGCTTTGAATTTGTAGTAAAATGTCAATGCTAGGTTGACAAGTTTCGATATGCGAGCGATCTTGGGTTCATTATCAGTGAAAATAGAAGTCAATGTGTTTTGGTCACTTTATGCTATCCACACCTTTGCCTGAATTTTTGTGAAATTTAATGGAATTAGAAAAGAACTGCTGTTAATTTTTAGTGACTGGTACGTGATGAAGGGAAGTTGGGTTTAGTTGTAGACACTATTTTACCGTATTTGGTGATATTTTTGTTGGTATGACATTGAATTAAGACCAAATGAAATGTTTGCTGTAAATTTTTTTCTGTCTAGTTGTTGCTTTGTCCTCACTTGCAAGTTGTACCCATAAATTTACAGAGATTACTATTTTACCGTATTTGGTGATATTTTTGTTGGTATGACATTGAATTAAGACCAAATGAAATGTTTGGTGTAAATTTTTTTCTGTCTAGTTGTTGCTTTGTCCTCACTTGCAAGTTGTACCCATAAATTTACAGAGATTACTTTGCATTCTATATGTTAATATCGGTCTTGAATTTTGTGTCTTTTTAGTTGTGTCTAACCCTACCTGAATGGTGTGAACTGTATTCAGGCATAACTTCTGTACTGTAATGAATATTATAATTTTTTTATCATAATCTTTAATGGTTTTTCATTCCTTCAGGATGAAAATGGAAACAAGATGATAAATGAATATGTCCGAGAGTATAAAATTGGTTCTGGAAGCTATGGCAAAGTGGTAAGCATAGTTTTTGATGAAGTATGTTCCTCAATTCTCATTGGATCAACTATCCTGAGCCCTTCCCTTATCCATGTTGCAGGCCCTTTATCGAAGTCTTGCTGACGGAAAGCATTATGCAATTAAGGTATGGACACTTTTTGCGGTGAACAGGCAGATTATTTCATAATAGCACGGTTTTAACAGGACAGTAGTCACTTCTTCTGATTGTTGGGAAGTGTGACACTGGTAGATGTTGGGCTAACTAGTGCGACTGATCAAAGGCTCACTGCCTCATGGCAACATGCATGTTTACAATGTTATTATCATGACAAGTGCAAAGATTTATTGAGGTTAATTCTTTTGAATTCAGGCCTTTCACAAGTCTCATTTACAAAAGCTTCGAGTTGCACCTTCTGAGACTGCCATGACTGATGTTCTACGGGAGGTATATGTCCTCTTATTATCTTTCTATGAACAATATAGGGTTGGCCAGGGGATTCTCATTTCATGGTCTGGGCATTGGTCGTTTCTGTTTAATGTCTTCATTTGTTATTTGTGGTAGAAATGTTGTACAAGCTAAATGTATTCATTATACTTGACCACGCATTGGTTATTACCTAGCAGCTAGTGATTAACCACCAACTGCTTCTTCTGGCACTTTATCTTAACAAACATTATCATGTGATTACTCTTACACCACACATGTATATAGGTCAGTTTTGGAAAATAGAAACGTTTTCTTTCTGGTGCAAATATTTTATATTCTTCTTAAAATTTTAGCTTAAGGCTTAACACAACCCCAAAAGCTAGTTCAGGTGAGGGTTCTTCCCCATTTATATTATACTATTTAGGCACTATTTCTAGTTAATGTGAAACTTGAGTTTTGCCTAATACTCAACCTCAAAAGCTAGCTCAAGAGGTGAGAGTTCCCCGTTCATATATATTAATGTCAGACCTGGTTTTTCCCAATACATTGTAATATTTTTTAATCTTTTGCCAAGAGTTCACTTCTTATTCTGCTTCCTATTTTGTTATATTATGATTTATTATGATGTTTGACTCAGTTTTGGGATGTTCTTTACTGTCCCTGCAGTATTTTAATAGACACATACGTTATTTTCAGGTACTGATTATGAAAATGGTGCAACATCCTAATATAGTGAATCTCATTGAAGTGATTGATGACCCTGAGTCAGATGACTTCTACATGGGTACCCAGCACTAGTCTTGGTTTTTTAATTTAGAGATGACTGTTTCTGTAATTTGTACATACGTATTTGAGCCTCAAGTTTTAATAAGAATCTCTATTAAGTACTATGTTTAACTGCAGTTGTTTACTTTTACAGTACTTGAATATGTGGAAAGCAAATGGGTGTGTGAGGGTACAGGTCGTCCTTGTGCATTAGGTGAAGAGACTGCTAAGAAATACTTGCGTGATATAGTCTCAGGATTAACATATCTCCATGCTCATGTATTATCTCTCAACCAAACCTATTTGTGGTTAATGATGACTCTGCCCTCCTCTATCACACACGCACACTTTTTACCTTCAATCATATGCCTGTAGTTTTTATAGTTATTTTAGTTTTTGTCTTTCACATTTTTATGATTTTCCAGTACCAAAAAAATTTATGAATTGAAGTAGACACTGCTTCAATTTTTTGTCGGACAATTTATATGTTAATGTATGCTATCCTTCTCACTCTTAAAATTAGTAAGTATGCTTGTCAACCTCAAGATTTTGATATTTATTTATGTTTGTCTAAAGTTGGCTGAAGTATATTTTTGCATATCACTGGAAATATATATATATATACATAGTGCTTAAAAACTTTGTAACCAACATATCATTTATTGTAGCTGCTCTGGTTCATTCATCTTACATGCTTCGATATAGTTTGACTGTGTACTATGGTGATTTTATATTGATTTGTTTCAATGCAGAATATAGTGCATGGGGATATAAAACCTGATAATTTATTGGTTACTCGTGATGGCACAGTAAAGATAGGGGATTTCAGTGTCAGCCAGGCTTTTGAGGTGATGTAATTACTAAACTCAATGAAACTTGGGAAGATGTGAAATCTGATTATTTACTCCAGGCCTCTAACATTATTTTACCTAGTGTATTTGAAATTTGATACTTGATACCTCTGAACTCAATGATACTTAAAAAGACATTATTTAATGAGTGAATTTGAAATTTGATTGGTTGAAGGAAAGCTGGTGAATGAACCTTGTTAATACATTACTTGAAAGCTGAAAGTCATTAATGTTTCAATTACATAATTTAAGAGGCAGAAGCCTCATTTTTGTCGATTTTACTTCATTATGCTGATAGCACCCGTCTTTGCAAATCAATAGGATTCGGAGTCCACCCTTGCAACTATCATGACAATTAGGTCCATAGCAGTTATTTTGACTCCTACTTTTCCTCTAGGCTACATATAAGAATTTAGCTAGTCTGAGGATGAGGATCAGAACCTAGGAAATTGAAAATGATAAATCTTGGAGTTTTTTTTTAATGTGTTTGACATCTTCTAGCGCATCTACTCACCCATTCACACTTCTTTCTGTGATATATTGGTGACATTACATGTGTACTAAGACATAACCTCACATCTAATAAGAAATCAATACCTTGATTTTATTTTGCAGGATGGCAACGATGAACTTCGTCGATCACCTGGCACTCCTGTTTTCACTGCACCAGAATGTTGTTTAGGTTAGAGGTTTCTTTTCAAGCTTGCAAGACACTTCTCTATGGACTGTATGAAAGTACATGTTCTCACTGCTGTTTTTGTTCCTTGATATTATTTAGGCCTTACATATCATGGTAAAGCTTCTGACACGTGGGCAGTAGGAGTTACTTTGTACTGTATGATATTGGGTGAATACCCATTTCTTGGAGACACACTTCAAGACACATATGACAAAGTATGATATATTTACTTAACCTCCGATACTATTATGTGAAATTCATGATACGGTTTTTTAACCTATCACAGATATCTAAGCTTGCTGTTTTCTTCCTTATTCAGATAGTCAACGATCCTCTACTTCTGCCAGATGACATTAACCCCCAATTAAAGAACTTAATAGAAGGATTACTGTGCAAAGGTATGTGACATTCAAGTTTTATGATAAAATTTTATCATCATCATAATTGTGTATTGGGTACATCATTTTATGGTTGCCAATTGAACCGTGTTGTGCAGACCCAGAATTAAGGATGACATTGGGCGATGTTGCTGAGCATGTCTGGGTTATTGGAAATGATGGGCCAATTCCTGGGTACTTATGTTGGTGCAAACGCAAGAGCCTGGTGACTGAAGATCTTGATGGGAGCAATACACTTGTTTGACCCACACTTATTTTAAGTTAGATTTCTTATGTACAGTGTGAAAAGGCCCATTAACTTTTTCCCCAACTTGGACCCCATGAAGGATGTTATGATTAGAGAGTCTCCAAAAGGATCCTTTGAATTTAAGCAAATACAGCTCATGATGTCGACCATAAGTAGCCAACTAAATCATGTTTATTTTTGTGTTGTGAAGAAGCATTTGGTGTCTACAGACATAGAGGTCTTGTATACGTCTCTTTCGTATAGAATGAGTTTTTATCTCAAACACGTGCCGAAGTGTCACTTTGTATTCTATATTTATTACATTCCTTATGGTGTTTGTTTTGATTTGTTTACATACATGCTTTGGTTTAAGATTCAAAGAATTTGATTATTCAACAATCGACGCTAAGTTTGAATTTAGGCTTTGATTGTCAAATTTATGAAACTCCACTCCTATCCTGCCTATCTTGTAGTCATTGTCACACAGTGGATTCTTGCCAAACCCTCCCAGCATAGCATCTGGGCATTGTATTGTATTTACTTTTAATCTACTTTTAGATGAGAAGTGAGAAGTTCCAACTCAAAAGGTATTGCAAGTATTATTGTAATAGGATATAGTTGTTATTCGTTGCATAAGTTCGGTTCTGGTTGTCGTAAACGCGTGGTACTCTTGAAGAAAAGTCTTCTTCATCCACGCAAACAAACAAAAGTAGAGGCAGTTTTTGGCTGTATTGTCGTCACAACCCTCCTTCATCTTTTTTTTTTGTATTTAGGGTTTTCACCATTTGACTTCCAATTTAAAGATCTTCAACTAAAACTGACAACTCCCATTCTCTACGTCTCTCACACGCTCTGGCCTCAACCACTGCATGGAGGATCAACTTGGATTTCTTTAACAGGATAAAAAACGTGCATTTTTGGTCACTTGGAAAGGTTCCTTCACCAAATATCAAGACCCTCCTACTACTCTATCTCTATATTTTAAGTCTCATACGGCACCAGCACTGTATATACAAGTTGAAGATGGACTTCATTCCACGAAAATTATTTACAGAATCTATTAATTTATGTGTAGCTTTTTTTTGTTTATAAAAAGAAAAGTGTAAACAAACAAAACAATTGAAAAAATGGATTAAATAAGAGCCTTTGGGATTGGTTGAATAATCGAAATAAATAAACGGATATGATGATGATGTTGTTGACATAAGATGAAAGTACATGAATAAAAAAGGAAGGAACCACATCAAGCTGTGACTGATTGATAAGACCTCTGTCATCCAAATCAAAATTCTCTGCATGTAGATGCAGTTATATCAAATTAAATTATAAATGATTTTTTCTTTAAATAAATGCTTAGATGAATTTTAAAGTATAAGTTATTATTAACATACAGATGCCATAAACAATCCTACATAATTTTTTTCAGAAAATAAAATGTTAAATAATTGTAACGAAAATTGCAAGTTTATCAGAAAAGACTTCCTGTCTTAAGAACAATATAGTCTGTAACATAACCATTTGTATGTGGATGGATATTGATAAACGTTATCATTGACCAAGACCGTGTTAAATCAACTTTGAACGCGCTGAACTTGAATTTAAAGTGAAACATGAAAAGTATAATCCACCTAAAACAAACTCAAATTAAACTTGGGACTCTGATTGAGTACTGATTTATTTGGATGAGAGAAAAAGATAGTTATATATATATATATATATATATATATATATATATATATATATATATATATATATATATATATATGATTAAAAATGTATTTTTTATTTGATTAAAAAAATGAAAAAACAAACAATATAATCATTATTTTTCCTGCAATGCAAATCCCTTTAGATCCAAAAGAAAAGGTGACTTTCCTCCCTCTTTTGTTCTTGTTTGCAAGTATATTGACTGATGTAAAATATTGGCAAATAGTGGTTCTCAACATGGCAGGTGGAAGTACAGGATGTAGCAGTTACAGTTAAGAGTTAGAGTTGTATTGTACTGGGATTGAGGTGAGGTGAGGTGAGGTAGCAGAGATAGAAAGGAAGAACAGTAAGTTTTCGAATTTGTTAATTGGAAAGAATAAAGCTATTGAATGGTGGAATGATGGTGACATGAAAACGAAAGTTTAACAAAATGAAGAGGATATATCAAACATGTGGTCTGCAATGTTCTAATTAGATTAGTACAACAAGTGATAAGGTTTTTTGTTTTTAAGATCATATTAGCAACTATGTATTTCTCCCACTCTACCGTGTAACCTTATGGATCATTACCACAATCACTTTTCCATTCTTTCTCTGTCACTGTAATATCCCTTCATTACTTCTCTACAAATATAAAACAAAACCTTCTTCTATCTATCCAACCGGGAAGTATCATACATACATCAGTTTGGTCATTTTTCTGACATACAAATAAATGAAAAATGATTTTTTTTTTCATATTGTCTTTAGGCTTTAAGGAAGAAGAATAGACACATGATGGAAAGTAGTAATATTTACAATTTTTGTTGTTGTTGATTGAATCCTCTTCAAGGAAGCAGGAATGATTAAAAAAGAAAAAAAAAATTGTCAGACTCATATTTGTATGCATTCAAAATAAGAAAAAGAAAGTGAGAAAGAATTGCTTTATACAATAAAGGAGAAAAAAATATCATTATTTTAACATATTTTTCTTGAAAACGTTTATGTCATTTTATGTACTGTTTTTCTTTTCTTTTCTTTTCTTTTACTTCTTATATAATCAAATAAAAATATTTAACATTTCGTAATTTACTTTAATGAGGCATTCCCTTGAGACTTTTCAACCACTTAATGCATTTAAAAAGATTTATTTATGAGGAAAATATTAGTTTTTGAAAAATGATGTCATGGATATAAAAACGGACAAAATTTATATGTTCTTTTAGTGTTTTTAGAGTTATTTAATTTTGTATCTAAGTAAAATAATACCAAAAACACCTTGTAATTGTATCCAAGTTTGGTCCAATAATAATAACTCTTAATTTTTATGTATATTTAAATTAGTACTCTCCCTCCTATCTTAAAGTTTTGAATATTTATTCTAATTTCAAAAATTAAAAACTTTCAACCAACATGAATTAAAAAATTGTATATCAATTGTTAAACAAATAAATTTTAGTAAAATGATTTGTTGATTTATTGGACATATTAAGCAAAGTATCAACATAAATTACAACTAATAAATATATATAAATAAGTTATATTTTCTATTGAATATGTATAAAATATTAACGACATTTGTACTTATTTTAAATCTTGTTTACAACCTATTTGACAGCACCATAAACTGAAAATAAAATATTAAAAAAATAGTACATTTGGTTATTATATTAAAGATTTTTTTTATTATTAAATAGTGCGTTTTTTCTATTAAATATGTAATTATTTAACAATGTTATTATATTCGTTAAAAAAAAACAAGTTTTTATTTAGAAGAGCTCATTCCACAAATTTAAACATAAAATTTATTAGAATGAATTAAACAAACTATTTTAATAAGCTTCAGTAAGAATTTTACTAAAACTAACCATATATATAAATTCTTCTAACTACCCTATTGGCCATAAAATTTTGATAAATAGTTTTCAAACTCAGAAAGTTAGAAACTGAAAAATGAAAATAATGTTATGTTAAAGTAGAGTAAATCTCTTTGTAAAGTTCCCATATTTTGTTCAAATTGTGTAACTTTTAGAAGAAAATCATTTTACATTTTCTGAGAAGTTTGTATCGATGAGAGATTAGAGATGACAGAATGTTGAATGAGTGAAGATGGTTCCTAAAAATAATTATGTCAGTTGTTGTATCACTCTGTTGCTATGTATTCCATTAATGAATAAAATGTTATAAAAGTTATAAATTTTTGAAGTTTTGCATTTTGAGAATGAAAGAAAGAAAGAATGAATGAATGAATTGCCAAAAAGCAAGAAGGCTTTTGAAGGTGGACAAATGGCATAATCATGGCTCTTTGTTTCGCAGTGTCTGTTATTATTTTTCACTTTTCTTTCTTCTGCTTCGCCATTCACACTCTCTTCCCTGTTGGAATAAAGAAAACGTATCAGATTCTCTTCCACCTTCCCTCCTTCTTCTTCCTTTTACTTATTCCTCCTTTCATCTTTTCACATCAATGCTTCACCAAACTATTTCCAGTAAGATCATAATTCTATTTTTTTATATATATTATAAAATCAGTTAAATAAATAAAAATTATATTCACTTATATAATATCAAAATAGATTTTTATAAGTTAAAATATAGTTTATTAATGCAAAAATTATATTATATTAACTACTTCATCTTTCCACGGTGTTCAATGAAAATAATAATAATAATAACAATAGAATATATTCAATACTTTCTTATCATGTTTTGGGCACATATTAAAAATCTTATAAATAAAATTACATATATATAAGTGTCTAAGTAAATCAATAGATGCAGTAAAAAAAATCGAAGATATAGACATTAAAAAAAACAGATTTAATAGACTTTATTTAGTTTAATACTTCGTAGTTCACCCTCATTAAAAACTCTTAAATTAAATCATAAATTCAAAACTGTCATTCATAAATCTTAATGTTTTTAATATATCTACTTCATATGTATCTTGAATTATATATATATATATATGTGTGTGTGTGTGTGTTAAATATCAGTTAACATAATTTTAAACAAATATTTATTTACTTAGTTTCACAATTAAACTTTAATTATTTACATCTAATTTGATGTTGAATTAAAGTAATTTTAGGATTTTTTTATACTAAGATTATTACTAATATATTTTTAAAATAAATACTATCAAACATAAATTTTATCATTGAAAATTAAGTTCAACCAAAAATTATATTATACAACTTATTTGTATTTAAAATTAAAAAAATTTAATTTATTAGATCTCAAAATAAATTATTATTAAATATTTATTCTTATATTTATTTAAAAAATAATTCTACCAAATTAATTTATAATATATATATTAATAAAATAATATT